ACCGTGATAATTTAGAATCGCGCCATGGATGCAGAGAAAGGCGTGAACTCTCCCAACAATGCACAAAGCGACATGAAGAACAATAACATGAGACCTTCAGCTGAAAAAGCAAAAGATATGCAGGGCCATTTAATTTAAAAAATCAAAACGACTACAGCTGTGTAATCAGAAGTTTTAGGAGAACAGAATGGTTCATGTGCACCGCTAGGAGCCAAAGAAGGAAGAAATAGAGCAGGAGTGGGAAAATTGCCATCAGAAGCAGAGGAGAAATCAGATAAGTCCAAAGAAAAGGAAGAGAAAAAGAAGGAAGAGGGAGAGGATAAAGACAAGGAGAAGGATAAGGAAAAGGAGCCAAAAGATGAGGAGGCACAAGCGAAAGGGGACGAGCAAGAGGAATCACACGTGCTGGGAAAATCTGCGTCAGTTCTCGTAATGTAAACCAAAACAAAAAATAAGCACATCGTTGCTTCAGAGAAACTCTCGGGAAAGGAAAGTCTGTAATCTTCAAAGTTCCCGAAGAGCACAAGCCAGTCTGGAGTGATATCAAGATACAGAATCCATCCAACGAAAAGAAAACGTTCAAGGTAAGCAACCAACCACTAAGCGATTGCTATCAAATTTTAAAAAAGTGGAAGCAATTTTTTCAGGTAAAATGTACCTCAAATCTGCACTTTCGCGTTCAACCACCTCTTGGTTTTATTAAACCGAACGATACAGCAAGGATACGAGTATGGTTTCAGGTACTGAACGCCGCACATATTTTCAAATTGTCCTTCGAATTTACGAGAAAAATGGTTAAAAAAAGAGAAAATGCTCTGTGCTTGCGTCTTTGTTTGGCACCGTTCCAAAAACCATATCAAAAATAGATTCTGAGAAGATCCTTTTGTGTCCCTCATAGAGCTTTTACACAAACAAGCAAATAAAGCCACAGTAGAAAATTTGTAACACTACTGCTCACTATCCTTAGACCTACAGAAACAAACCAGTCTCATTTTGTGCAAAACACCCTCATTGTGAAAATTGCGAGTTATAAAGGGAAAGCTATAGGACAATCTATTTTGTTGACAATGAGAATATCACAATCTCAGAACCAGAAAGGGATTCCGACAGAAAAGAAGCGGCACTATTTTGCTATATATTTTATGCCAGCACAAGAAGGCAAAACTGTGAAGGATATGTGGCCCAAAAACGCAAAGCATGAGGGTAGGTATTAGGGCTTGAGTTTTAATATGTTTATATGACTGTCCTACCTTTCCAGGAATATGCCGTGTATGTGTTGTATTTGAAAAAGCAGTAGGCGACAAACCTGATTCTGCGAAACCTCCAGATAATCCAAGCAAATGAGGATCAAGATGAAGTAATAAGAAAATCGTCAATCTGTTTCAAAATCGCTTTAAACTATCCACGTTACATATGCAAGCAGCGCGTTCTAACGAATAAAGTTTGAAGATGTATGCAAGAGATTTCATATGGCATTAATTCTGCGCGGCTTAGCAATTATGATATAAAATCATTTTTAAATTATATGAGATATTATTATAATTCGATTTGCTACCCTTCTAACACCCCATGCATAAATTTTCCGATTAGATTTCGATCTAAAAGTGTAATTTTTCGAGATTACTTCTCTTTTCTAGTCCTTGATGCTTCAGATTGATGGGATGAGCACACACACACTTTACGCACGTTTCCCCTGCGTTATTTGTAACGGATTTTAACCTTTACAACATCGTAGTAAGGTAAAAGACGTATGTAACGTAACTGTTAGACTGTAGTTGGCTTGGGCGCTACTGCTACGCTTCCATACTTGATGCTTAGGGTAATGCCTAAATCAAGCTCACCATACAGCGATTCACGGAATAGGCTTCCAGCGTTTCAAGAGTTATCGTGTGCCACCAATAAATCG